GGGGGGGAAGGGGAGGAAAGGGGTCGCTTCCCCCCCTCGGCGGATAGGCGGGGCCCCCGCGGCGGTTGGGGCCTGCGCGCCCCGCGGAGCGGCGCGGAGCCTACCTGTATTGTTCGGCGGCCGGCGGAGGCTGAGCGCAGGGCACGACGCGGTCCGCGCTCGCTCGCTCGGCTCAGCCTCGCGTTGGCTGCCCACGAGAGCGGCCTGATTGGCTGCGGGGCTCCGCCGTTTAAAACAGCCTCCTTGCCCCGCCATTGGCCGCGCGCCTCATGAATATGCAGCACCGCCCGCCCCTCATTGGCCGCCGCCGCGGGAGTCATTCATTCAAAAAGAACGGCCCCGCGCCCCCGCGCCAGCAGGGGGATGGTCCAGGTTTGGGGTGTGTGAGGGGGCAAGCAGAGAGAAAGTGGGAATGGTCCCGATTTGGGGATGGAGCGGATGGCACCTGCCGGGATCCAGACCCTGTCCATGAGTCTATAAATGAAGCCGGGAGAAGGGGCCCCAGGAGTAGGGGGAGCAGCGAAGATAAGCTGGAGGGGAGAGGAACAAGCTAGCTGAGGGGGGGAGGGAGAAGATGGAATAAACACAGCAGTGGAGGGCAAACAAGTGGCCTGTGACAGCTCGTCATGCAGCCCTTCTGCCCTAAAGCCTCCGGGCCTGAGCCGTGGGGCAGAGCGTGCTGCTCCCGGCCTGGCGGGACCCCGCTGAGGTCAAGGCTGGCAGCGGGTCCACGCCAGAGAGCAAGGGAAGAATTTTGCCAACGGATGTGATTCTACCAAACCCTTCCTACTGCAGACAGCAAACCAGCACTGCCCCTCACTGACCTGCTTCCACACTTGCCTCGGGCTAAATGCTGCGGGGTCTGACGTTTCACGTTCGCCCGTGCTGTGTTTGGGGGAACATGCGAACAGCAACTCCCAGCTGACATCAGCTTGGCACGGTGCTGTCAAGGGTCCCTTTTGGCTCAACTGGAAGAGAGAGAGAGAGCGAGCTCTTACAGGGCACCTACCACATGGTTAAACTGGCATTGGCGACAGAGACTAGATCTGTTGTTTTAAGGCCAGTGGGAAAAGTCAGATACCATCATGTACTCTGGGCTGGGTGTAATTGCTCCTCTTCATGTAAAAGAGTTGTAAGAAACAGTTACGTTCTTTATAGCACAGATAACTGATAGCAGCCTCCGCCCTGCCCACACGGGCACTAGGCTTCACCGGCTATTCTGCAACGACTCTTGAAGCTACAAACTACGCTTTCAGCATGGCTTTCATTTTAAATGACCAAAAAGTAAATCAGCAATGGGGCAAGAACGGAGCTCATCAGGAAGCCTTTGCTTCCCTACTGCTTCACCAGCACTTCGTTTTAAAGATAGTTGAACTTTCATGCAGCAAGGACAATAGAAAGCGGTGGTGAATTTTAGTAGAATCTGCACAGAACTGCAGAATTTCAGTCAGGGTTTTGGCCATCACACCACAGCCCATCTCCTCATCCACATCCCCCTACCATCCATACAAAACACCGCCAGCTGCATGTTAATAGAAACCTTTCGCCATGCCAGCCCAGGGCACAGGAGAAAGCAAGTATTCTTAGCCCCACTTGGCCCTTGCCCTTATTTATAGGTTCTGAAACCGGAGCAAGAGGCTCCATTCAGAGGTAGTTGTGAGACTTCTCTAGAGACCGTATTTTGTGGAATCATCACAAAATAAAAGCAAACAGCATTCCCTCCTTCAGACCCCCCCCCC